CCCCATTAGGTTTGGAGCCCATTCAGCAGCAGTGGCACAAGAGCAGCAGAAACCATCCAAAAGAGCAGAACCGTAGCCATAACAATCACTTCCTTTTACATCTACCTCCCCCAGGCTGATGTGTTGGGCTGCGCCTTCCATTTCCAGTGAAGGTTTGTTGCCTTCTGACCTGTTTCAGAGGCCTGCAAATCTTTGGGATATTTACTACTGCACACTCCAGGGTTTTTCGGAAGAAAATGGGAGGATTCCGGTGTGAGTGCAGCAGCACAGTTCCCCCACTAGGGGTCACTGCCTGAACGTTGCAGCATCCCTGCTAGAAGCCATTGCAGGAGACGCTTCTCTACCTGCTGCATGTTCTTCTCCCTTCCTGTATAGCTTCTGGGGGCCAATCTAAATGCCAAGTGATTTGCTTTAGCTTAAAGTGGGAGCACACAGCCTCAGCTCAGATTGGAACCTGATGCTCCAGGAGGGAGGTGTGCAAACTTGGGCCCGCCTATTTCCATTCCTAAATTCCATGCACATCTCAGCATGGAGGAGTGAAAAAGAAAAATATAATATTGGCATCACTGGAGAGCTTCTTTATTTTAAACATCTCCCATGGTGACTGGGGAAATTTTGGGATTAAAATAGGAGCAGAATCTTAAATTACCCCTCCCAGAGCCCCATAATCTTGATTTAAATTAGGACCATGGATATTTACACCAGAGTAAATAATCCAGTGATTCTTAGTTCTGCTGAAACATGGATTGAAAGATACAAAACTTAGTGTTGATTTTCAATCCAGCTACGCCTGCCTTGCACTTATAACCATAGGGCTTTCTTTAAATATCAACTATATCACAATGCATCTTCTTCACAATTCAAACACATCTAGAATCATTGACTATTCCGGTTTTACAGAGTTGCAGTGTTGGCAGCAAAACTTATGTGGATTTAGCTGGGTGCAAGATGTGCGGGAGCTTCCAAGAGAATTCCAGAGTGTATTGCCCTCGTGGGAACACAGTTCTGCTTCGAAGCAAGGCCTGCGCTGCCCAGGGGCCTTGTTCCCCCACTAAAACAGCACAGTCCCATTTTGCAACGGCCTCTGCTGCTCCATTAAAGGCTGCAGCAGGGCCTGCTGGAGCCCTCAGCTGTGCATTTGCCCACCCCTCATACGGATGACTAGGGAAAACCCTGAACTAGTCAAGTGTGTGCTTTGGGTCGATTTATTCTTCTCCCTTGCTACAAAGGCTCTTTAAAGTGGCTGTGTAATGTTCTGGTTTGCTAAATAATAATAGCCATCAGATGCTGTCTCTGAAAATCAATGTACTCCAAAGCCATTGTTATCTGCCAAAGCAACCATGGTTTTAGATTCCCTGCATCAAAATATAGTTAAACTGTGAAGCCAGGTTTTAATCCTATTCCTTTTAGGAAAACAGACGTACACTTTGTGCTTGGAGTCTTGCAATGTTCTGGCAACTAGGGGCTTTCAATGCCCCTAGTGACTAAGGCTGCAATCTTACGAACAATTATTTGGTAGTAAGTGTTCTTCTGAGTAAGCTTTGATTAAGACCATGGTATGCTGGCATCTGATAAAGATTAATTAGTGAGATTCAGATGTCCTATGAAAGATACTAAGCTCAAATGTGGTTGGATTGAAAAGAGCAAGTTAAGGTGCAAAAGCAAGTTCGGGTGCAATCCAGTGGCTTCCTGTTGCTGCCTGGGGCCGTCAGATTAACCATCACTCCAGGGGAGACTTCAGAGGCCAAGCCTCCACCGCAGCCCCTTCCCACCTGGTGCAGAGAGAACCTCTCTGGATGCCTCTTCAGGAGCCAACTAGGCCTCCCTCCAAGAGGACAAAATGGCCCTTTCCAAGGGAAGGCGGCAGGCAAAGTCGGGCCTTCGCCGTGCTGCATGAGTGGAAGAAGGATGATGCAGAGCAGCGGCTTTAGACCAACAGGCTGCAGGCGGGCACTACTTTGCAGGAGATTTTCTGCTGGTCCACGGGACAGCTGCATCCCGCGTGCCAGGGACCAACATGGAGGCTGGCTGTGCTGCACCTCCTCTTCCTTGGTAGGCCCGGCTTGTAGGGAGTGCGCCAGTGCCGCTGGGGGGAGCGGGGGCAGGCAGGGGAGAGACAGCTTAATGGGAGCCGGCTGAAAGCCACACTGCACCCGTTTTGGTATTTTGTTCTTTGTTGGCATTTTTGTTGCTCAGTTTCTGGCTGTTTGGGAGATTTTTTTTCCTTCTTTTTCTTCTTTTTTTTTCTTTTGTATTGTGTTTGGAAACTTATCCATAGAGTACTGTGCTATGTGTATGGTGCTTTTTGCTTCTGCCTCAACAGTCCCCAAGGTGCTTTTCCTGTTTTTGCCAGTTCTCAGCTGTGGAAAGGTCGAAAACCACTGTCGGTAGGAGATATGAGAATAAGAGGCTGACAAGCTGGAGTCTCTTCCCATCTGTGAAGTGTTGGAAGCTATTGCAAAGTTCACCCAGTCCATCTGAGCAATTTTCCTTTGCACAGCTTTTCACGTGAGAGGGATCCTTTTCAAAAACTCATCCCCTGGTTTTAGAAATGGAAACACCAAGGGAACTCTGCGTGTATCAGTCCAGGATTGAAGTCTTCCTGAAAAGCTCCACTTAATTTAAAATCAAATGTGGCTTTGCAACATGGTATATGCCATAATCCTCATGGATTCTTGAAAGTGTTTCCGCATGTTGTGGACATCCCAACCACCAGGACAAATGCATGAGAAAGAATGGCATAAATAGGTTATATGTGCAGTTGCTTGACTTCCAACATAATGTAAGCCAGTGAACACTCCGGATATATATGCTGGCAAATATATATGCTGGCAAACAGACCTTCTGCAAAGCCAGCGCTGTCACTGGTGTTTTTCCTACCAAACATAAAGGCATGGATTTTTTGGCCACTGCCTCCCTCTAGTGGTCAAACTTTAAAAGGAATGCGCCTGGCTCTTTCTTGGAAATACTAACAGCAAATGAGCCGCATAAGAAGCCAAAGTGCATTTCCGTGAAATACTGTCTGTTGCTTAGTGAGAAATACAGGGAAAGCACCCCAGAAGTGCAACAAAGTTTCGCAGTTTGGAGAGTTCAGGATTCCAGCCCATTTCCTCTCCCGGCAAGATTTCCGTCTTATCCTGTCCACCTGCCCTCCAGCCCCCAACAGCACACGGCGTCATCCCAGTTCACTTCATCTGCAATGGGATGGGTGGTTTGTGGTTTCCTCCCTGCCCCAGGCCTTTTCCTAAAGTTGCTTTATGCTTCTGTTGTATATATATTCAACAGAAGCAAATGCAAGATGCAAAGCACTAAACATCCCCATCATTTATTTTCCTATATAATTTATATAACCCTATATTAATAATTATAGATATAGATATCTCATAAATGGAGGGGCTTGAAATAACACTGGCAAGCAAGATAAGGCAGTTTCCAGTGTGGTATAGAGGTTAAGAGCATGGGACTGGGACTCAGACGATCTGGGTTCTAGTCCCCGCTCAGCCATGGAGCCAACTGGGTGACTTTGGGCCAGTCACAGGCTCTCAGCCCAACCTACCTCACAGGGTTGTTGTTGTGGGGATAAGACGGAGGAGGAGAATGATGTAAGCTGCCTTGAGCCCTTTGTAGGAAAAAGGCAGGATATAAATTGAATAAATAAATAAATAAAAATTACAAATATGAAAGTTTTATGGTAGTTTTGTGATACAGAACATGACTAGTCAAAACATGGGGAAGAGACATGGAAGAAGTTAGTTTCAGTGATCGCACCTGTTCTGAAGAAATGGCTCACGTGATTATATGTTTCCTAAGGAGAAACTGTTTTGTGAATAAATATGTTTGCACATGGAAACAGGACCTGAACATGGGTTTCCTAGAGTCATCTGGCCACACGGCAACCCACTAGAACATGCTAGTATGAAATTTGCCCACTTCCCGTTCCCATAGAACCATTTGGACTCTATATGCACGCAGATCTCATGATGACCCGCTTCTGTCTCCTGCGCTCATTCCAAAGCAGAATAAGTAAGCAGTCTGGTGTCCCGGGCCCCTTTCTCAGCACCTCTTAAAGTGCCCTTTCCCTTCCTTATTTTAATTAACACTTTTTCCTCCCAGCAGCTGGCTTTGCTGTGAAATAGGTATTTGTTGACACTGAAACCTGTAGGCTCAAAGGGACTTTTAAAGTTCACTTCCTACTGTTGCCTTGTTTTCGGTCTTTTGGGCTTGCTGCATGGCTTTATCCTGCCCTTCCTACGAACCATTTTTGGTGCTGCCTGGAACAGTTTCTCAAATTGCCAAATCTGCTCATGGCCCAAAAAGGATACCTAGCCCTGCCCTATAGAAAAAGGAAATCAAAGACAAAGAAACAGTTGCTATGTATAATTATTATTTTCATATAAAATATCTTGTACCCAACATCATACACACCACTACCATGAACCATTTTAAAGTCCAGCATACAGTTCAGCACAATAGTATATGTGTACATCTTCAAAGAGCATCCTATGATTTTGTTTATATATTTATATTTATATTATATATTTAAAGAGGCTCTGCGCAAGCCTGAATAACCTTCCTCTAGGGAATGGGAGAAATGGCTTCCCTAATTTTACATTTTTGGACTAGTCCGTGAACTGAAACTCAGTTATACTTGAACAGTCAACACTTTTCTAATGTTTGTAATGGAATTCTCCAGATAAAAAAGTATACAAAAATGCAGAGAGTCAAGAAAGTAACGTTCAAATAAGCATTGTGTTCTGGTTTAAAAACCTATTAAGTAAAAATGCATAGAAAACCTGCACATATCAAGGAAATAGTGCACAAAAAGGCATATGAATGTACATGCAAGCTTTAAGAAAGAAAACTAAGTTGGAAATGAACCAAACGTGAGACCAGAAATTCTGAAAGTTTAAGCCAAACCAAACTTAAAATTGGAAAAATCTGAAACCAGAAGAAGCCAAAACTGCCAGATTCATCCATCCCTACCTTGCAATGATTTCAAACAAACTACATTTTAAATAAATATCATTCCATTGCATTCCATTGAAGTATTTTCCATGGACGTTGCTCCAGGACTTTCTGCAATTTTTCCTGTTTCCTTCACTTCTTCTCCCCTTAAAGTCATTCTTTCTAGACAGTGCTTTATAGCTGCTTAAATCTAAAGAAGTCCAGTACTAATAATAGCAGAAACTGTAGCCAGAATAAGGTTATGTGGGAGGTTGCCACTAATGTGTTGTCTGGTGCCTACTCTGGACAGACAAGACAACAAAAGGTTACACTTTGTTCTTCCCGGTGCTAAAGGCAAATCAGCTGCTCTCCTGTGTGGACAATTCAGCCAGAGCAATAGCTCATGAGGTCCTGCGGGCAAAGCATTCCGATGTCAGATGATGGTGCAGCCGCAGCAGTACCTTTCAGGGTAATCGAGGGCATGGACCTTGTTCTCTATGCCGTAGATGTAATAAAGGTATGTCTTCTCTGAGTACTGGTAGTGTACTTCAGTGACAGGAATGAGCTCAATGGTCTGTCGCTGAGGGGGGGAAACAAAACAATATGAAATATCATATATTATGGCTTCTTTGCAGTGCACTTATTTTCCCATAGAAAAGAACCATGGTATTTGAGCAAAACCAGTCTCCTTGTTGCCAAAGCACAAATATGTCGTGTTTTTCCCACTCCTTTGTGCATACAGTGCAAGCAATTAAGGATATATGCATAGAGAGAGGCTGGGTTCTGACAACACAAGCCATGTTAGTTTTGTAGCACTGTTGATCAGTTGTGTTGTGTGAACTCAGTTGTGTTAATTCTCCATGCTAAGTTTGACCTTTAGAAAGCACAATAAGAAACAATAGATTTTTCTGTATTTTCTTTGTAGCACTGCACCTTGCAATGTTACCTGAATCCGGGAATCATAGTTTCCGTGGTCCTGGTCTGCACCTACCACAGAGTCCTCTAGAAAGAGTGGCAACTGCGGGAGCCATTCCAGCCATCCAGCCTCTATTTATTTTTATTTGTTTATTTAAACAACTTATATGCCGCCCCATTGCATGAGCCTCAGGGCGGCTTACGATCATTAAAATTGCATATAAAATACAAAAAATTCATACATGAATAGATTGTGGACCAATGAGGAAAACACAGGCGACATAGGGCATGATGCACCTTGGAGCTGAACTTTGGGCACAATGGCTGATTGAATACATGCCAACAGTGGGAGAACTGAGGGGAGAGGGTGGAAACCATAATAAACTAGAGAACACTTGACTGATTGTCTGTCAGGCAGGTCATGGTAAAAAACCGTGAACCACGCTAAGTACTCAGGATTGCTTATCATGTTGTGTGAACACATCCAGAGAGAGAGAGCACAGTGTGTGTGTGTGTGTGTGTGTGTGTGTGTGTGTGTGTGTGTGTGTTTGTGCGCGCGCGCGCGCATTGGCATAAAACCATTTAATTCCCATGTCTGAAATAGCATGATCAGAAGGAATATAAAGTTGCTTTTCCTCTGCTTTGCCTCAGGACGAGAGATGCAAAGGTCTAGCCTGAAAGGACAGTGGGAGAGCTACCCGACTGATACACCTGGAAGTGGCTGAGCCTCAGAGCAGCCGTGCAGGCCTGCACGGATCTCATCGGAACAGCGTCAATGTTGCTCTCAGCTTGGCTTTCCTCAGTCGCTAGCCAGCAGCTAAGGATGACTGCCAGTGCCCTTGGATGGCCATGCCCCTGACCCCTGCGAGAGTGTTTTCATGACAACAAAACAAGGAGTTGGGTCCAGCCCCGCCCCGCCCCGCCCCCACGAACACAGGTTTTGTTGCCGGGATTCTTGTGTGTGGGAGCGTGTGTTGCAGTGTGTGCAAAAGCTCCCTTGCGCATCCCCACGGCAGCATCGTCTCACTCAGCTCAGGGAGGAGCACCAGGCGGGAGGCTGTATGGATGTGGGCATGATGGCACCAGGTGCAATGAGCCCACCATGTGACTCTTCCCTGCTGCTGCCTCCAACCCCAAACAATTCTGGAATGGCAGGCGCCCCATTGCAGGACCCTTTACCAATTTTGAGGGGAGGGCATTTCCTTCCCTGGGGTGAACTCACTGCACTGGACTGGGCTACCTATTCACAACTGACAGAGTACTAGACGGAGTAGGTTCAGCTAGGGGGACCAGTGCTGGTCTGTCTTACTGTGTGGCAGCTTTCTGTGTCCACCTGGGAAAGTGCTACAGTGCAGGCGTCTTCAGAGCATGACCCTGCACGTGGCTACTCCGAAGCAAGGAGACTTGCTTCCAAGGAAGCGTGCTTACAGGACTGCAGCCTCCACAAGCCTGTGTCTCGGTTGGAGGGACCAAGCCAAGGAAACAAGCCATGTTGGCATTTTGTTACAGCCTTGTAGTATTCTTAATAAGGGCATGGACTGATTACAATGGCTGTATTAGTCTCTGAAAGAAAGACTTTGGCGAGTGTGGACAGGCTTAGAGTTGGGTACACTGAGAGAACTGCCTGGGTGGCATTTAGGAGACAAGCCAAATTGGTGGCATCTGATCAAATCCAGTGACAGAGGTCTGCAGTGGGGAGATGGATGGGGTGATTAGCAGCCAGCATTCCCTCTGGTTTGATTTTCTGTTTTAAAAATATTACATTGAACCCCACCACACACACACACACACACGAAATGCAATGTGTTGAAGAGGCAGAATACCGCTGACTTGAAGAGGTTGGTGTCAGAGGCTGTTTTAAAGCTCTTTGCTTTTATTTATGCCATCTTTGATGTGAGCAGATCCCCTGTATTAACCACAGAATGAATGTACACCTGAAAACTCTGTTTCACTGCATTTCCCTGCAATAAACATTACCTTTGGGCACAATGTACAAACAAACAAACAAAGAAAGCTGCAAAAGCAAAAAGACTCAGCGTGCCATAATTCTATATTGTGATTGTCAGTTACTATATCGGCACGCACTAGTTGCATGTCTTCTTTTAATGGGTTCCTACAGCAAATGCAGGACGCATTTGCAGGCAAGGTAAGCATGCAGGTTGCAATCAGTACCTTTTCTTCTTAGCCTTTGGATGACAGAGTGAAACAAGTGGATCAAGAATCCACAAAGCCTTACTCAGAATGTTGGAGCTACAGATTTGGTCAAATCCCTTCTATCCGTGTATCATAGATTGTCAGGGACCTTGGATCCATTAGCTGCTCGTGGATGCAACTAAAGATCTGTATGAGAATCTTGTTCTGCTTGCATGAGTGTGTGTTAGCACAAGGGCGCATTCATGCAAATCCTTCTGAAAAAGTGAAAAAGGCTGACGGTTCTGCATGACTTGTGGAAAGAGGTGCACTGCAGAACCTGGAAGTCAGATGGCCAAAAGTCCACACTCATCTGAATCCATGGTGGGTTTCCACAGCATTTCAGGAACAGATGCCACAGACTTCAGTTGAACGTTTTCCTCAACAACGTTGGTCTAGGATTGAAACTTTCAAAGCTCAGATTTTCATCTCCTGCCCCCAAATGTGTTGTACAAGCCGGAGAAGCCTCAGCATGAAAGGTGTAGTCTAAAGAGAATTGTAAGGTAACGTGGACTTGGGGGCTTGCAAGTTTCCTGTGAAGGGAACAGAGTGTGCCACCTGCCAGTGCCATGCCTCACATGTATTTCATCAGGAATGCCAGTTTTGGACATCTAGATAAAGTGCCAGGGAAAGGCAGCAGGGCTGCCAACAGTAACTGGTACCAGCCCTCAGCCCCGGCCTGCTCCCCTACCCACCTCCAGGCACACACTTTTTTGCCCTCTCCAAGATGCAGGGTGTTTTTAAGAGCATATTGCTAACAATGTTTATTTTATTTTTATTTATTTATTTGGAATTTTTGTACGCCGTCCCATTCGCATAAGCCTCGGGGCAGCTTCCAACCATGTTAACAACAAAGGATTCTTAAAACATATCCGAAGCAACAAGCCAGCTAGAGAGGCCATTGGACTGATGATAATAATGGAGTTAAAGGAATACTAAACAAAGATATTGCAGTGGAGCTGAATGAATTTGTTCATCTCCCTTCACAGTAGTGGATACAGAAAAGGTAGCTTTACCTGAACTTATCTACTCAGGGAAGAGCTGCAAGGGATTAAAGCAGCATGGAGAGAGAGACATTTTTCTTCCTTTCCCCATAATGTTAGGAGACCCAGCATCTTTCCGTGGATTGACAGGAGGCAGAGGTCAAGTACATCTATGGAATTCAGTTCCATGAGATTTAATGATGGCCATCAAGTTGGATGGCTTTAAAAGGGGATTGGACACATTTATGAAGGAAAGGGCTCTGGGTGGCTAGTCTCAATGGGCCATATGCTACCTCCAGTATTTTAGGCAGTATAGCTGTGAATATCATTGCTGGGGAATTTGGGCCTGACGGTGCTCTTGGGTTCAGATCTGCTTATGGGATCCCTTGGAAAGCTGGCTTCCCATGGGGTGAACAGAACGCTGTACTGCATAGACCCTTGGTCTAATTCAGCATGGCTCTTAAGTCCTTATGTTCCTGTGTTATTCTAGTCCTAACTTTTTGTGCTCTGCTACCTGTTTCTGCAGTCTTCAATCAGATTAATTGATAGATTTGTCAGCTACAGCTGGAGTTGGTTATTCAGCAAGAGCCCACTGAGAGTCATTTTTAAAGAAGTCTTTGCCTGTCTTCTGTGTTTCACAGATAGCAGCTTGAGGAAAGTGATATTTCTAATAAAAAATAATGCAGAGAAAAGATCTCTCCCTAACACAGTGTTGCTTCCCTGATTGAATAACCAGCTTTCAAGTAAAACAACTGTTCATAGGGAGAACCAGGATCACAGATCCGAAATCACATCTTGTTTGACTTTCAGTCTCCTCAGACCTCTGTCTTTCCCCCACCACATCCTCCCAGGTTACTCCCCAACACCTTACTCCCAGGGCTCCACTAAACCTTTTCTCAAAGCTATGTAGATAGATTTTTCTGCTGCACAAAAGTATTGATAAATAAAACTCAGTCAAACGTGTAAAAGACAGATGATGGATCAACTATAACTTATTTCAATAGATCGAGTTCTCTAATAATTAGTTATGGTCTCAGAACTCCTAGTGGGATTAAAAGCTTTACATAAAGAAAATAAACAAATGCAAAATGAGTAAACCTGCTGTAGTATGCGCGATGTGCTTCTGAATGTGGCATTATGCTCTGCAATAGCTCTTTGCGATGCCAGGGAGATCTCTGGACAAGGGAAGTCAAGAAGGGGATACACCTGAAATTAAGAAGAGCTTTAAAGGCAATCCGTTCTCTTCCACAGAGTCACTTCCACTCACTGTCTTCCCTCTCCCAACAGATCAAGCCCTACCATCCAGCCCTGCTCAAACACACTCGGCACATCCGATAAAGCAATGGTAGCGTTCCTTAATCTGCCTCAGGAAGAGTGTGCGCCATGCATAAGCCACGGTCCAGCAAGGTCAGCTTGGAACAAGCAGGCTGTTAATAGAGTCCCTTCTGCCGCTGAAGCCTGTCCATCACTTTTATCAGTTCAAGGGGATTTGTTCAGCATCAAAAGCTAGAGGTGCAGCACATCAGGAACTGAAGAGCCAAAGTGAAGCTGCATGTTCCAGTTCTGTGTAATTTACATAAGCTGAATAGAAATTATATGAGCATGGCAGATATGAAACGACTTCTCTTAGAGCATTTAGTTTGTAATTCTGGAAACGTTGCTACCAATAAGGAAAGCATTGAATCATCAGCAGCTCCTCTCAAAACTGAGACATCAAAATCATAACCGATGAGTGTATAGAAGCAGATCTTTGTTTTTCTGAAGACTGAGACTTCTGTATAGAATATTGCCATTATATTTTCAGATCTCTCTCTACTAGCAAGAGGAACAGAAACATACAAGTGAAATATGGCATCACCAGAACGTTGGCAAGAGTCAGGCTAGAGGTATTGCATTAATATTATCTACAGGGAGCAAATACGCTGAGCAAATACTTAGTGCCTATTTGTACCTTGCTGCAACAGTAAATGCTACCTCTAGTAGCTGGTGAGCAATCCATGGCTGCAATCTATGTAGGAGGCCTGACATCAGAGGGGGTGTCTGAGTACATTTCTATTAAAACAGCATGAAACTAAGAAGCTGTGCAAGATAAATGAATTACGGTGTTAAGCAGTTCAGCTGGGCTTGGAGGCATCACACAGAGGAAGCAAGTCCTGCCCTGAGGTGCTGCATTATACTTACCAAAGCGTTCTCATCTTTAAATATGTTCTCTCCTACAGCTTTATTGAGCTGTTCTCTTGGAAAGTTTAACTGATGCTCGGAAATGAATTCATATACATTGTTTTTCCTGCAAAGCAAGTGTACTACATCAGACTATTCATCCAAATGTGGCTGAGGATGCAATATTCTCTAGGATGGGGTTCTGCAGCCTTTTTAGACCCATGGGTACAGTTGGGAACTCCAGGGGGCACCACCACAAAATGGCTGCCACGGCAGATGTGGCTAGTTGCATAATGGCTGCTGTGGAGGGGCCTGGCTACTCAAAACAGACCTGAAATGGTGGGGTGGGACAGAAATAGCAAAGCTATGTTAGCACTGAAAGCCCTTGATCACCTGTAGGGCACACCAGTTTTTAAAATTGCAGCCTAAAACTGCTGGGGTACCAGTTATTATATGTATCTATTTTAAGCAATATGCCCAATAGCACATTTGTAAAATGATTTCAACTTTTGTGTCACTGTATTATCTATTCATTTTATTATTAATTATTACATTTATCTCCTGCCTTTTTTCTTCTCACAAGAAAACCAAACTGACATATCAGATCCTCCTCCTCACAACAGCCCTGTGAGGTAGGTTAGGCTGAGAGTCAGTGGCTGGTCCAAAGTCACCCACTGAGCTTCATGGCTGAGTGGGATCCAGGTCTTCATTCCGACACTCTAACCAGCACACCATACTGGCTCTCTATTAGAATCGATTTAATAAAGTTTGTATGTTTGTAGTAAGGTGTGTGTTTGTTTTCATCTTGCTATATACATATATTGACCATCGCTAAGGGAAAGTTTCCCTATATTTCAAACAGGTAATGCAAAATTTGAATTGTGGTGTTGGAGAAGACTCCCAAGAATCCCTTGGACTGCAAAGAGATCAAATCAGTCAATCCTAAAGGAAATCAACCCTGAATCTTGTTTAGAAGGTCAGGTACTAAAGCTGAAGCTCCAATACTTTGGCCACCCAATGAGAAAAAGGACTCATTGGAAAAGACCCTGATGCTGGGAATGACTGAAGGCAAAAGGAGAAGGGGATGGCAGAGGATGAGGTGGCTGGATGGGGTCTCTGGGGAGGTGGGTGTGGGATTGGGTATATTCTGGGGGATGGTGGAGGACAGGAGAGTGTGGAGGAATGTTGTCCATGGGGTCACGAAGAGTCAGGCACGACTTTGCGACTGATCAACAACTATGGAAAAAAGAAGCTACAAAAAATGCTGAAGGGGTAGTTCAACAACCCCTTCATGGCATTTCTTTGAATCATGTCTGATTTCCATTAATATTTTCCTGTTTCACACCTGTACGTGACAATAACTTCTACAGTTATTTAGCAACAGCAACCATATGCTGTGACTGTTCAGGTGTGGAAGTACAAAGCAGTGGCTTCTGCTATACATCAAATGAGCAATTTGAGTGAAAGGAAAGGATTGCTCATTTCAAAGTGGACAAGGAGTGGGCAGAAATCATACAGCAAGGAAGAAGGAGGGCAACTAACTTCAATTGCCACAGGAGGACAGAATGCACCCCCCCCCCAAAAAAAAAAAAACACTAATGTAGCTTGAGAAGAAAGAGAAAGGAAGATAGTTCAGGGTCAGAACTCTTAAGCTACCAGCTATTTGCTTCTGGAAATAGCAAGAAGCTTCTATTGGAATAATCCTCCAGGTAGGGTTCATAGCTATCAGGCTACAATGAAACTAAAAAGTCAAGAGCTAAATTCATTTAAATAAAGTTAATGGTTCTCTTCATAAACCATTATATTTATTACAACTAAGGACATGACATATAAAGACCTTTTTATTTAAACATCATTTTAATTGTTAAAATATATGATCTGGCCAGGGCAACTTCTTCTTCCTTCTCTTTTCTCCTCCTATATTCTTTACTTATTTTATGCTGTTAATTTTAATTTTATATTATTATGTTTGTATCTCAGTGTATTTTTTGTATTTTTGTATTTAGTGGTAATTTATTATGTTCTATTGTATTTCAATGTATTTTATTGTGTTGTAAGCC